GGGGAGACGGACGAGTCGGCTTCTGGGAGCACAAAAACTCAAGCTGGCCCAACGGGGCCGTCGGGAAAACGGCGCGGCCCGGTCTGAAACTTGACGCGCGAGCTCCCACTGCAAACATCCCCCGAGAACTGGACCGTCGAAACCCCCTCCTCCTCCTCCTCCTTCTCCTCCTCCTCCTGACGCGCTCGTCAAAAAGAGTCAGAGCGCTTCCACGCCGCAGCATCCTCCTCGGCCAAAGCAGCAGCAGCAGCAGCAGCAGCCAGCAGCAGCAGCAGCACGAGCAGCAGCAGAAGCATGGCACTCGACATCAGCATCATCACAAACATCAGCGGCAGCGGCTACGGCATCACATTCCGGTGGGCGCATCAGCACCGCTCGCGCACCACGGCCAGGGAGGTCACCACCACCAACACGACTATCACCATCATCGCACTCGAATCGCCATCAGCAGCAGCAGCAACACCGTAACCATCATCACCACAATCGAGACGGCCGCTTCTAGATTGAGACTGGGCCAACCTTGGCTGTGGACAAAGCTGCCACCGCCCTGTCTTCGAAGCGGCGGTCGGGCGGTGGGGCGACCGGCTGGCAGCCGTCGCCGGCTGGTGCCAGTGCGAGCGCCCAGCTTTTGGTTGACCCGAAAGGGGGTCCCGCTGAAAGGGGGGGTGCAATAGATTTGGGACGACTGTACTGCAAATGCATTGCGCGAACTGTATTGCACTGCATCGCAACTGGTGTATGGCGCGCAGAAATCCAGCAATACGCTTGCGCCACAGAAGGTATTGGACAGATCTATTGCACCAGATCTATGTATTGCACCACCCCCTTGGAGCTGAACCCCGTCTGCGTCAACCCGACAGCTCCCTTTCACCTTGTCGGGCTCCCGAGGAGGACACGGCGCACGAGCTCGCTCGTCATCTCGGGGATGGCCTGGCGTGCGCCTCCTCCAGGGCCAGCTAACTTAGAGGGCTCAGCGACCCCCATCCCCGATCCTGTGGGATTCTCGATGCGGCCACACTCGGGGATATACGAGGCAGGGCCCGCATCTTCGATCGGGGTGCGTCCGGATAGCTCCCCAGGGTGTATCTCCGAGTTCCCCTCCTTTCCTCAGCGGCCAGCTTTTTGAATGGGAGCTCGGGGATCTGGGCTGAGAAATCGCCTGCGAACAGCGGCATCTCGGTCAGGGACCACCCTAGCCAGGCATGAAGCAAGCTGGGGGAAACGGATCCTGGACCCCGGGATTTTCCCCTGGGACTAGCTTCACCTCCCGAGTTGCTTTTGACCACTGGGGCCCCGAGAGGGCCCGAAAGGGGCGAAAAGCATCAGGACACGTCTCCATCAGGACTCGTTTGCTCCATGGCGGCCTGGTGAAGGACGCGCTCAACACCGTGTCGAGCGGGTCCTCCGACAACCCAGGCATCCAGCTGCTCCAATGTTTTCGATGCGTGGGACTCGGAGGCCTGGACCACTACCCTAGGGCCGGTTGTCGGCCCTGAATCGTTTCTTGACGGTCCCGAGGCCCCGCGAGGGCCCCCAGAGGCAAAAAATAGAGAGCAGAGAGTCCACCCCGACACGCGAAGCCGTCTAGCAAACGCACCGCCAGAAGGAATCTCGTGCAGGGCAGGGCTGTCTCGCAAACGCCCAAGGCCCATGAGCACACGCCAGCGATCGGTTCCGGGTGGTCTTTCCCCCTTGGGAGAGAGGCCCAGGCCCCGGCGCTCCAGCCTTGTGGAAGCGTCGGGTCCCTGGGTCCGCCAGGCGGGCAGGCGTGCTGCACGCCTGCCGACCCCTCGGAGGTCCGGCCCCCGTTTTACTTGTTCAACTCTTTTCTCTACTGCTGACAGTTTCCAGATAGTATCAGAACTAGAATAAAAGCAGAAATGAGAGTGGAAGTTCGAATCGCCCAGGAGGCGGGCGGCACGCCAGAGCGGCTCCCGCCGCGAGGGCCGTCCCCGGCGGGAGGAGAGCGGCGCCGAGCGGCCCGGCGGGCGACCTCTTCGGGCACGCGTATCATCACCACCACGACCAAAGCCACCACCATCATCAGAAGCACCAGAGCACCCGTGATCATTACCACCGGCACCGTCATCATCACCGTCGTCACCATGCTGAACATCGCAATCACCACCACCACCACCACCCACTCGACAACCAGAATCACAATCATTGGTGCAACGTTGCCTCTGGGACAGTAGTCACCACATCATAAGCTGGTTCTGCCTTATCCTCGTCATCACCACTCGTCACCGCTCATCACCAGCATCAGCATCAGCATCAGCATCAGCATCAGCATCAGCATCAGCATCATCAGCAACAGCATCATCACTATCATCATCATCATCATCATCATCATCATCATCATCATCATCATCATCATCATCATCATCATCATCATCATCATCATCATCATCATCAGCATCAGCATCAGCATCAGCATCAGCATCATCATCATCAGCAGCAGCATCATCATCATATTCATCATCATCATCCTCCTCCTCCTCATCATCATCATCGTCATCAGTATCATCATCATCATAATCAGCATCATCATCACCACCACCATCATCATCATTATCATCATCGTCATCATCATCATCATCATGAACATACTTATCATCAGCAGCAGCAGCATCAGCATCATCATCATCATCATCATCATCATCATCATAATCAGCATCATCATCATCAGCAGCATCATCATCAGCATCATTTGCGCCGCCGTCGTCGTCGTCGTGGTCGTCGTTTCCGTCGTCGGTGTCGTGGTCGTCAGCATTATCATCATCATCATCATCATCATCATCATCATCATCATCAGCAGCATCATCAGCATCATCGGCATCATCATCAGTATCGTCATCATCATCATCAGCAGCAGCAGCAGCATCGGCATCACCAGCATCAGCTAGAGCATTATTATCATCATCATCAGCATCATCATCAGCATCATCAACATCATCAACAGGCAGCAGCAGCAACATCATCATCACAATCATTAGCATCAACATCAGCATCGTCATCATCATGATCATCATCAGCAGCAGCATCAGCATCATCACCTGCACCATCATCATCATCATCATCATCATCATCATCATCATCATCATCAGCATCATCATCATCGTCATCATCATCATCGTCATCACCATAGCAACATAGCATCATCATCATCGACACCGTCATAATCATAATCATTGCCTTCGTCGTCACCCCCATCCTCGTCATAATCACCTCATCTTCATCATTATCATCAGCAGCAGCAGCATCAACAACAACACCATCATCGTATCGTTCTGCTCATCGTGATCCTCATCATCATCGTCATCCTCATCATCATCATCACCATCATCATCAGCATCGTCATCATCAGCCTCATCATTATCAGCAGCATCATCAGCCCCATCATCATTTCCATTATCGTCATCCCAATCATCATCATCATCATCATCATCACCACCGCCACCATCATCATCATCATCATCATCATCATCATCACCACCGCCATCATCATCATCATCATCATCATCATCATCATCATCATCATCATGATCATCCGTCCTCAATCTCATCCTCATCCTACTCAACCACGTAATCATCATCAGCATCATCATCAGCAGAATCAGCATCATCATCGGCATCGTCATCGTCATCGTCATCATCATCATCATCATCATCATCATCATCATCATCATCATCATCATTATCATCGCCATTATTAATACCATCATAGGCAGCATCATCGTCATCAACCTCAGCGGCTGCATCAGCATCAGCATCGGTATCATCGTCATCAGCGGCATCATCATCAGCATCATCACCATCCACGCCCACATCCACATCAACCTCAACATCAACATCAGCACCAACATCAACAAACACATCCTCATCCAAATCCTAATCCTCATCCCTCCTCCCTCCTCCCTCTTCCCTCCTCCCGCATTCCTCTTCCCTCTTCCCGCCTCCTTCATCGGCAACACCGAGTTGGGAAGATACAAAGGAAGGAACAGGATGAGGAGGCGGGGGGAGGAGGAGAAAGCGGAGGAGGCGGAGGAGGGGGCCGGAGGAGCTAGGAGGGAGGACGACGATGACGACGACGACCACGACAGCGGCCGGAGCGGCCTGCGGGTGGGACTGCAGCAGCGAGGAGCGCAGCTTGTGCAGCACCGCCTCGAGGTCGAACGCAAAGTTGGGCATGTCGGGCTCGGCGACGCGCTTCTTGGTGTACTCGTCCTGCGCGTCCCCGCTTGCTCGTCGCTCGCTCGCGCCGTAGGGGCACGGGGCAGGGAGAGACCTTGGCCGGCGGACGTGGGCACGGCCCGTCGGCGAGGCGGCCGCGGGGCGCGGGAGCTCCCGCGTCAGCCTGCCGATGGAGGAGCGACCGCAGAGGCGGAAGGAGAGCGGAGCCCACGGAGCAGGGGCCGCAGAGGCAGGAGGCGCGGCCGCACGGGGGGGGGGAGGAAAGGGAAGAGAGGGATCGGCGGCGAGCGAGGGGGGGGGGGGAACTGAGGAGAAGGCCTTCTCGGGACTTCTCAGAAGCCCTCGCGCCGTCCGAGGGGTTTCTTCTGCCTCCGGGGAAGGCTCAGAGAACTCCTCAGAAGGCCGGGGGACCTGCGAAGCTCCTGAGACGGCCTCCTCCTCCTCACTTCCCCCCTCGCTCGCCGCCGAAAGGAGGACAGGACCTGCGGCAGTCGGCGGGCGGCGTATCCACTCGGGAGAGGCTGGGCCCCCCGGGAGTCCCCGTTGCGGGGGGGGGCGCCTGTAGCCCCCTGCCCTGCAGCCGCTCCCGCAAGAGAGAGCCCCCGCACGCGGCCGCAGCAGGGGGGGGGGCAGGGGAGGACGAGGACTGCTGCGGTCGGAGGGCGGCTGATCCGCCTGGAGAAGCCTCGAGCCCTGCGCGCGGGACGCGGAAGCAGGCTCCCGCCACTCTGGCGAGACGGCCCGCCCGCCCCCCGTGGGGCCGCAGGCTCGATCGGGGCTGGACCTAAACGCTGTTGTTGGTTTTGTTGTTGTCTTGTTTGTTGGTTCCGCTCTACCCGTTCTCCTGTGCCTCCCTCCCGAACCGAAAAACAGAGCACAGTCGAAGTCCAGGAAAACAGCGTTTGGGTGCAGCCCTGGACTCGATGACTGGGAGGAGGAGGTAGCAGGGACGTTCTCGGAGGTTCTCAGGGACATCGGCGGTGCTCGACGGCTTCTGGGAGCCCGTCTGGATGCTCTGCGGGAAGCTCTTCTGGAGGCTTCCAATGTCCAGAAGCTCTGTTAGTGTTCGGAGGCTTCGCGTGCACCGCCGAAGAGACAAGGGCACCTGCTCCCCGCAGCTGCTTCTACTCCTTCATCCGCTTCCCCTTCAGCCCGCTCCGCCTCCTCCTCCTCCTCCTCCTCCTCCTCCTCCTCTTCCTCCTCCTCCTCCTGTGTCTCTTCCTCACTGTCTCCTACTCCTACTCATCCTCCTCCTCCGCGCTTCTTGGCATACGCGTCCCATGCACCTGCACCGAGGGAAGTTCCCGAAATCTTCGATCGTCGACGTCGACCACCGTGGTGATAACGTAGGCCCGCCAGCAGGCCAGTGCGCTCAGCGGGGGCAAAAACGAACGCGACGACGATGCGGACGGCAAAGACGAAGATAATGACAAGAATGGCGACGCCGAGGGCGAGGACGGCGACAGCACAGACGACGAAGATGACGACGACGACGACGACGACGACGACGACGACGACGACGACGACGGCGGCGGCGGCGGCGACGACGACGACGACGCCGCCGAAGACGAAAACGACGAGACCGATGGCGACGGCCGTGATTGCGCTGCCTTGCACGCGCCCGCCGCCCTGCGAGCCCGGAGGCGGCCAGGAGCGGGCAGCGGAGGCTCGCTGCCTCCGCTGCTTTTAGGGAGCCCACAAAGGATGTACGCGCCCAGCTATGTACATGAACACGGCCCCTTGACCCGCGAGACCGGCCGCGTAATACGAACATTCGCGCAATGCGAACCCTCGAAACCAGAGTGGATTCATGTACGTGTACGTCCTTCTTTCGCTCCTGAGGTTTGGGGAGGCACGAGCCTCGGGCTCGGGGGACTCGGATGCTGGCCCGACAGGGCCATCGTGCAAAGGACGGCGGCCCCGCCGGGGGCTGCGAGGCGACCCGAGCTCGCGCTGCAGAGACGGCCCGACGAAACCCTGCACCGCCGGAGCCCGAGGCGCGCGCGTCCTCGCCGGAGAGCGAGGGCAGGCCCGAGCTCTGGCCAGAGGCCTCCCAGATGGGGTCCGAGCAAATGGGGTCGGAGGATCGAGACCGCCTATGCCTCGGTGACGCATCGGCGATAGATCGACGATGGGTCTTCGACGTCGGCGATGCATCGGCGATGTCGGCGTGGAGAAAGTCGGGCTCCACATCGAGCCGCATCGGCGGTGCACCGGCGATGCGGCGCGATCCTCCGACCCCATCTACTCCGACCCCATCTGGGAGGCCTAGACTGGCGCACTCGAGTCCTACGTTCCCGCGAAACTAGCCGTGGTGGGTGGCGAACCTCTGCTGGCCACACCTGGACGCCACCGCGCTGCCAGGCCACGTCGCAGCGCGGCGCGCAGAGGACGAGAGCGCGAGGGATAACCCCGCGCCGGCCAAATAGATTCGGAGGAGGAGGACGACAACGACGACCACGACGACGACGACGACGACGACGACGACGACGACGACGACGACGACGACGACGCTGCGGTGCGTCGTCGTCGTCGCGGTCGTCGTCGGTGTCGTCGTCGTCGCCACCGCCGAAGGACTCTGCCCGGGTGCGCTCGAGATCGGCACCTCTCCGGGCTCCTCCTCCCCATCGCCACGCCAGCAGGAGCCCGGAGCGCAGGGAGGAGAAGCAGGAGGGGCCAGCGCTCGGCCTCGGGGCTCTGGGCGCGCGGCGCGCCCACGCCGAGACGGCGGCACCGTGCTGCTGGGCGTGAAAGCCGCACAGCCCCCGTGGAGCCGTTCAACGGACCCGTGATAGGAGAGTGGCGGCCACTGCAACCCAGGGAGGAGAAGCAGAAGGGAGAAGGATGCGGAGGAGGAGGAGGAGGAGGAGGAGGAGGAGGAGGAGGAGGAGGAGGAGGAGGAGGAGGAGGAGGAGGAGGAGGGGGGGGGGGGGGGCCCTCCATGTCGATGATCAGGAACTCGTGGTTGTACACCTTGATCGTCTGCCCCGGCATGAGATCCTGGGGCGAGCGACGCGGGGGGGCAGGTAGGAGCGCAGATGGAAAAGGGAAGGCGGGAGAGAAGGGCAAGGGAGGAGAGAGGGAGGGGGGTGAAGAGGGAGGAGGAAAGAGGAGGAACAGGAAGGTGGAAGCATGGGCGGGACATGAGGACTCACAAGATCAGTGAGGGTTCACTGGAGCAGTCCAGTAATCATGTCGACAAGACCTGACAGTCAGACCACGGCGATAGCTCATGAGCGCTAGAACAAGCCCGTGGAGCCACCGGTTCACCCCGAAGGTGACCCTCACGGGCGCCTCGCACAGCATCTGTGTCGGATCGCCGATGCGTCATCACGCTGCGTTTCTGACAGAACGACGCAGGCAGGTCTTCATTCACCGATCCTATCCAAAACGCCCGACAATGCACGAAGCGAACTTCAGCGCCTTCGGATCACAGATACAGAAACACACACACAGACATACACGCACACACACACACACACACACACGCACACACACACACACACACCGAGCGAGAGAAGCGTATCATTTTCGCACTAACAGCCCCGCGCTTCCCCCCGCACACTTAGAAGCTCGACAGCCAAGCAAGAGGAGTTCAGGGGTCGAAACATCAGGCCAGACATCGCCATCAAGCCCACGGAGGGCTCTGGGCGAAACGAGGAATTCCGAGAAAGCCACCAGATCATCACTGCACCTCACCCTGGACACACACGTAGAGCTGAGAGAAACACCAGGCTCGATGGAGCGTCCCCCAGAAAACTCCAGCACACATGTAAGCAGACTGTGACAGTCAGACCACGGCGATAGCTCATGGGCACAAAAACAAACCCGTGGAGCCACCTGTTCACCCCGAAGGTGACCCTCACGGGCGCCTCACACAGCATCTGTGTCGGATCGCCGATGCGTCATCACACTGCGCCTGCCAACGAACAACTCATACTGGCATCCACTCAACGGGCCCATCCGAAACGCTCAATCTAGACAAATCAGCTCACGGAGCCCTCCTGTTGCAGCCACCAGCATGGATGCGAGCCATCGCGTGATTGTGGTGGCCCACATAGCTGCGGAAACATGAGCATGCACACAGCAAGCGCGCAGAAACAAATCAGAGCATGTGTGTTCGCACCGAACTTCTGACCTCCCACACCGCCACACACACACACACACACAGAGCCGCTAGACGGCGAAGAAGTGCAGAGGAGCTCAGCGGTCCAGACATCAGGCCAGACATCGCCATCAAGCCCACGGAGGGCTCTGGGCGAAACGAGGAATTCCGAAAAAGCCACCAGATCATCACTGCACCTCACCCTGGACACACACGTAGAGCTGAGAGAAACACCAGGCTCGATGGAGCGTTCCCCAGAAAACTCCAGCACACATGTAAGCAGACTGTGACAGTCAGACCACGGCGATAGCTCATGGGCACAAGAACAAACCCGTGGAGCCACCGGTTCACCCCGAAGGTGACCCTCACGGGCGCCTCACACAGCATCTGTGTCGGATCGCCGATGCGTCATCACGCTGCGCCTGCCAACGAACAACTCATACTGGCATCCACTCAACGAGCCCATCCGAAACGCTCAATCTAGACAAAATCAGCTCACGGAGCCCTCCTGTTGCAGCCATCAGCATGGATGCGAGCCATCGCGTGATTGTGGTGGCCCACATAGCTGCGGAAACATGATCATGAACACACCAAGCGCGCACAAACAAATCACAGCATGTGTGTTCGCATCGAACTTCTGACCTCCCACACCCAAACACACAGGGCCGCTAGACGGCAAAGCGGTTCAGAGGAGCTCAGCGGTCCAGACATCAGGCCAGACATCGCCATCAAGCCCACGGAGGGCTCTGGGCGAAACGAGGAATTCCGAAAAAGCCACCAGATCATCACTGCACCTCACCCTGGACACACAGGCTCGATGAAGCGTTCTCCAGAAAACTCCAGCACACATGTAAGCAGACTGTGACAGTCAGACCACGGCGATGGCTCATGGGCACAAGAACAATCCCGTGGAGCCACCGGTTCACCCCGAAGGTGACCCGCACGGGCGCCTCACAAAGCATCTGTGTCGGATCGCCGATGCGTCATCACGCTGCGCCTGCCAACGAACAACCCATACTGGCATCCACTCAACGAGCCCATCGGAAACGCCAAATTTGGACAACATCAACTCAAAGGGCCCTCCGGTTGCAGACATCAGCATGGATGCGAGCCATCGTGTGATCTTGGGGGACCGCATAGCTGCGGAAACATGAGCATGCACACACCAAGCGCGCAAAAACAAATCCGAGCACGTGTGTGCGCACCACGCATCCTACCTCCAACACACACATACACACACACACACACACAAACACTTAGGGCCGCTAGACGGCAAAGCGGTCCAGAGGAGCTCAGCGGTCCAGACATCAGGCCAGACATCGCCATCAAGCCCAGGGAGGGCTCTGGGCGAAACGAGGAATTCCGAAAAAGCCACCAGATCATCACTGCACCTCACCCTGGACACACACGTAGAGCTGAGAGAAACACCAGGCTCGGTGGAGCGTTCCCCGGAGAACACCAGCACACATGTAAGCAGACTGTGACAGTCAGACCACGGCGATAGCTCATGGGCACAAGAACAAACCCGTGGAGCCACCGGTTCACCCCGAAGGTGACCCTCACGGGCGCCTCACAAAGCATCTGTGTCGGATCGCCGATGCGTCATCACACTGCGCCTGTCAGCGAACAACTCATACTTGCATCCACTCAACGAGCCCATCCGAAACGCCAGATTTAGACAAAATCAACTCACGGAGCCCTCCTGTTGCAGACATCACCACAGATGCGAGCCGTCGCGTGATCTTGGTGGACCGCACAGCTGCGGAAGCATGAGCATCCACACACCAAGCGTGCCGAAACAAATCAGAGCATGTGTGTGCGCACCACGCATCCGACCTCCAACACACACACACACACACACACACACACAAACAAACACACACACACACACACACACACACACGCACACACACACACACATAGGGCCGCTAGACGGCAAAGCGGTCCAGAGGAGCTCAGCGGTCCAGACATCAGGCCAGACATCGCCATCAAGCCCAGGGAGGGCTCTGGGCGAAACGAGGAATTCCGAAAAAGCCACCAGATCATCACTGCACCTCACCCTGGACACACACGCAGAGCTGAGAGAAAAACCAGGCTCGATGGAGCGTTCCCGGGAGAACTCCACCACGCACGTAAACAGACTGTCACAGTCAGACCACGGCGATGGCTCATGGGCACAAGAACAAACCCGTGGAGCCACGGGTTCACCCCGAAGGTGACCCTCACGGGCGCCTCACAAAGCATCTGTGTCGGATCGCCAAGGCGGCATCACGCTGCGCCTGCGCACGAACAACTCATACTGGCATCCACTCAACGAGCCCATCCGAAACGCCAGATTTAGATTAAGTCAACTCACGGGGCCCTCCGGATGCAGACATCAGCACAGATGCGAGGCATCGCGAGATCTTGGTGGACCGCATAGATGCGGAAACATGAGCATGCACACAGCAAGCGTGCAGAAACAAATCAGCGCGTGTGTGCGCACCACGCATCCGACCTCCAACACACACACACACACAGGGCTGCTAGACGGCAAAGCGGTGCAGAGGAGCTCAGCGGTCCAGACATCAGGCCAGACATCGCCATCAAGCCCACGGAGGGCTCTGGGCGAAACGAGGAATTCCGAAAAAGCCACCAGATCATCACTGCACCTAAGCCTGGACACACACGTAGAGCTGAGAGAAAAACCAGGCTCGATGAAGCGTTCTCCAGAAAACTCCAGCACACATGTAAGCAGACTGTGACAGTCAGACCACGGCGATGGCTCATGAGCACAAGAACAAACCCGTGGAGCCACCGGTTCACCCCGAAGGTAACCCTCACGGGCGCCTCACACAGCATCTGTGTCGGATCGCCGATACATCATCACGCTGCGCCTGTCAACGAGCAACTCATACTGGCATCCACTCAACGAGCCCGTCCGAAAAGCTCAATTTAGACAAAATCAACTCACGGAGCCCTCCTGTTGCAGACATCAGCATGGATGCGGGCCATCGCGTGATCTCGGTGGACCGCATAGTTGCGGAAACATGAGCATGCACACACCAAGCGCGCAAAAACAAATCAGAGCATGTGTGCGCACCACGCATCCGACCTCCAACACACACACACACGTAGGGCCGCTAGACGGCCAAGCGGTCCACAGGAGCTCAGCGGTCCAGACATCAGGCCAGACATCGCCATCAAGCCCAGGGAGGGCTCTGGGCGAAACGAGGAATTACGGACGAAAAAGCCACCAAATGATCACTGCACCTCAACCCGGACACACACGTAGAGCTGAGAAAAACCAGGCTCGATGGAGCGTTCCCCAGAGAACTCCAGCACACATGTAACCAGACTGTGACAATCAGACCACGGTGATAGCTCATGAGCACAAGAACAAACCCGTGGAGCCACCGGTTCACCCCGAAGGTGACCCTCACGGGCGCCTCACACAGCATCTGTGTCGGATCGCCGATGCGTCATCACTCTGCGCCTGTCAAAGAACAATTCATATTGGCATCCACTCAACGAGCCCGTCCGAAAAGCTCAATTTAGACAAAATCAGCTCAAGGAGCCCTCCTCTTGCAGCCATCAGTATGGATGCGAGCCATCGCGTGATCTCGGTGGACCGCATAGTTGCGGAAACATGAGCATGCACACACCAAGCACGCAAAAATAAATCCGCCGACCCCTTGGGGTTCATCCGCGTGTGAGATGTTCCCCCCTCCCCAAACCCCTCCCCTGGGAGCCCGGTCGGGTCGATTTGGAGGGGGGGTCCCCCCGGATCCGGATGACCGCATCCGGAGGGCAGAGGGCCCCAAAACAGGCCAAGAGGGCCCCAAGAGACCCTTGGGGCGGTCCACGAGGGCCACGAGTCGCTGCAAGATCGATCCAAAACGCCCACGCTGGCCTCGAGATGGCCCAAGAGGCCTCTAAGACGCCCCAAGAAGCCCAAGAGGCGTCCCAAGACGGCCTCCAGAAGCAAAAATCGCTCCAGTTCCTTTGGGAACCGTCCATTTTTAGCACATTCGCCTCTGTGGCGTTCACAACGTCCCAGGCGGCCCACGAGGCCTTCAAGATCGTCCCAAGACGGGCCAAGAAGCCCCCGAGATGGCTCCAAAACGACCCAAGAGGGCCCCAAGAAGGCCCAAGAAGTCCCCGAGACGGCCCAAGAGAGCCCCAGGACAGCCCCAAGAGGAGGGCCAGGGGGGCAACCTGA